ACACACACACACACACACACACACACACACACACACACACACACACAAACTGCTCCGTGTAGTATCCTAACTCCAGAGAAAATGTTCCATGGCCATTTTAGGATAGTAGCAGCCATAATCCAAAACATAAAACTTGACTGTGACATTTCTTCCACATCTTTATCTTGGTGCTATTATTATGATTTAAGAAAAAGTGTAGAGCAAAACCCCAGATATGACTGCCAATCTCCTGAATTCAAAGCAAACCAGTTCCTGCTTTTATTAAAGTACACAGTTTTTAAAAGCTAATTTGACAGCTTGGCACACAGCAGCAGGATACTGGAGCGTGAGGCTGGCTTGGGCACAGAAATGGCAAGCCATGTACGCTGCAGAAAAGGCCCCACCTGTTTCTGCTGCACAGCCTTGTGGGAGGGAAGCACTAGAAAGATGTTTTCTGTGTGCGTGCCTTCTCTCCCCTCCGTTTACCCCCTTAGGGCTTCTGGAAAGATAGTATTAGAAAGCTAAGAGTCACGTCTGCCTTTTAACTCATTAATAATTCACCTCCCTCCTGGCACAGAAGTGTTGGTGGGACCCATTAGTTGTAGGGTCAATACAATGCCATTGGCAGCAGGAGGAGGTCGGTGAGTTAACCGTAAACAGATGGGAAGGCCAGAGCACTTGGCCACAGCTCAACTAGCCAAGGAGCCCAACACGCATGTGCATCCTTTGTGCCGTCGTTGATAAGCTCTGGAAACGTCTGTGTGCCTGTTTCAGTTTCTTGGCCACATCCCAGTGTATGGCTGCTGGACAGTTTTGAACCTAGCCTGGCAATTGCGAGGCGAGGGCCCTGCCTGTAAATTGTCTGTCCCCAGCCCCTGTGGTGCAAGAATGGTCCCCCGAGCCATTTCTTTAGGTCTTGCTGGCAAAGAACCTGAGCTGTGATTTTGTTGGTGCCAAACTTCTGTCTGTAGAGCATCCCTAGTCTTGAACTTCCTAAGACTGTCTCAAGGGAGGGCGGTTCCTAAGGGGCTCTGCTTCTTTTTTAAAAAAAGTCTCACTCTGTATCCCAGGCTGGCCATGTATCCCAGCTGGCCCTCAACACATAGGTGACTCTCCTGCCTCAGGGTTATAAGCATAAACTACCTCACCTGGTTTGCAGTTCTTCCTCTCAGGGGCTGCCCCTTCCCCTGCACAAAATCTGATGCTTCAGCTCAGAAACCATGGGAAGACACCGTGGTCCATTTATAGAGTGATGTTCTTGCCTGTGAGCAGAGGGAGAGAGTGGGAACCTCTGGCCTTACTGGTCTGTCTCATCCATACTTTGAGAACAAACTGGGGTGAGGGCCATCAGGGCCCCCACTCCCTGAGTAGGGCCTGGTGGAGCGGGAGACTCCTGCCACTTGTCTGAAGTTGGCCTGGAATTGCTTTTTCCTCCTCTTGTTGTGAGGAGTCTCGGGGAGCTTGGAGTGTGTCCTGGCTGTCACCTCACATCTCTGTATCTTGCCGCTCTCAATTTCAATCCGTCACTCTCTGAGCCTTCCCACACCGTCTTCCCATGCACAGCTTGATCCACGCACAGATGTATTCCCAGGACGCTTCCCCAGAGTCGCCCTGAGTTACGGCCTGCAGCGTCAGAAGGGAACTGATGTGCAGAAAGGGACGTGTGGCCGTGATCCTCAAGCCCCTCTTACCCCGGCCCAGGAAGCCCCTGTCTCAGACGACTTTGCAGACAAGCAGGCAGAATCCCACTTCCACAGTCAGCTGTCTGCATTTTACTGTATGGAGACAGACAGAGGAACCAAGCCGAGGCCTCAGTAACCCAACTGGGCCCCTGGGGACGTCTGCATGTTATTCCTGGCATGCCTGCATGTACATGTCATGTGACCACACTATCTTAATTTGAACGAATGCCACTTTTCTTGTGTTCTCTGGAAAGTGGGGTTAGCACTCGAGCGCAGGCTGGAAAGTCTAAGTCATTAACCGACTCCCTGCCTCCCTGGTGCTTCGCTTCTTGCAGCGAGTCTCTTAATGATTTAATCTTAATTTAGGCAGAATACAATATCCCTGATCAGCTCATGAGCTGGCAGCTCTGAATGTTATTAAAAATAAAGCAGACTTTTGAACTCTGGGAAGCATGTCAGAATCATTTCAGAGCAAACTCACTCACAGACGCAAAGCTGTGATTCGACTTAAGAATCTTGCTCGCTCATCCGCTCATCGGTGTGCGTGTCTGGCTTCTCGTCGTGTTTGACTATGATGCTGATTATGTTCACATACAAACGCACAGACGTATCTTCTAGACTCTAGCTGTGGACTCTTTCAGCATATTCCATTTTTATGAAAAGTTCACTCGTTCTTTAAATATTAAAATATTCCCCTCTGTCCACACTGAATTTGTTAGGCATAGATTATTTACATTTTGGAATATTTAATTTTGTTTATCTGACATACGTAGATCCACAAGCAGATGCTTGCTAACACGGACCACAAATGATTAAATTATCCCTAATCCCCTAGCAGATGCTCAGTATAAATTTTTTTTACTAGAATCAAAACTTTTTGTTGCCTTCATTTAAAGATTGTCTGTATGCTTTGATCAGTCCTGTTTGCATCTTGGACTCTGAAATTTCAGGAGAACAGTTGGGAAGAGGATAAATGTGTGCTGAAAGCGGACACTATTCTAAATATTTAAGTGCTTTGTAAGTAGCTGCTTCAGTGGTTCCGTACAACACGCTAACCTTAAAAAATCCACAGGGCAGCTGTTTTCTCTCCTAGTTAACTTTATCAACTTGACCAAGCCTTGAGTTACCTGATCAGGGTGGCCCGAGGGCACATCTGTGGTGTTTGAGTGTTAATTGACGCAGGAGGGCCCAGCCCTCCGTGGGCAGCACCATCGCCTGGGCAGGTGGTCCTGGACTGGATAAGGAAGGCCGCTAAGCAAGAGCTTGAGATGGGGCAGGGGTTTCTGCTCCTGCCCCGACTCCCTCAGTGATGGAGCCTGACCCAGAAGTGTGAGTCAGGTAAAACTTTATCCCCTAAGTTGATTTTGATCAGGGTGGGTGCTTTTTCTTGTTTTTATCCCAACAACAAAAGGAGACTCCAACAGACGTCTTCTGCAGGGCTGGCTCAGTGGTCATGGCCCGCCGTGGTCTGTGCTTGTCCTTACTGCTCCATCAGTTTTTAAAGAACTCCTAGTTAACACTTATTTTCAGGGCTTGAAATACATCATTCCACACTTCCTTGCCTTTCGGGACCTGCCGTTCTTCTGATATTTCTGACTTTGTGGGTGACTTGAGATTTCCCCTGACAGTGTTTAATAGTTTCTTGGCTGTGTACGCTGCAATGCCTGGTCATGTCTGATGAGCTTCTAAATGCCTCTTGTGCCTGGATGCCTGTCTTTCTCCCAACCTGGGAAATTTTGTGCTCATGGCTTCACTGAATAGATTTGCCACACCTTAGTGCTCCTACGCCCCTTCTGTGCCATAGACCCTGCAGTTTGGTCCCTGAACTGCTTCCCAGAGTTTGGAGCCATTTGGGCCATGCCCATTTATTGCCTCGTTGGTGTTGAAAAGGAAAGTTTCATCCCCTTGCCCTCTGTGTCTCACATGCTTTGCTTGGCTGGATCACTGGCAGTGCCATCCTTGGGGATTTTGTTTGATTCACTGAATTTTTCATTTCCAACCTTGGTATTCAATATTCGGGAATCTGGTTCCTGGCTGAATTTCCTCCCATCCCATTGTTTTTCTCATTCATTTTGCTGACTTTTCCAGGGGTGGGGAGCAAAGCTGTGCTCAGCTTCTCTGCTGCCGGAAGATGTCAGACAAACCACAGAATGCTTGGGACTCAAGAGGCCTAATCTATTTGAGAACCTTAAACTAAGTTTTACTGCAGTGAGCAGGGTCAGTACTGTAGAGTTCAATGCTGCAGACATAATGGATGCAAACTGACTTCTTTTCCTTGGGCAGATTTTTGTCACTGTTAGCATCTGGACCATGTGGTCTTGCAGTGGTGGCACATCTGGCAGGGTGCACCGTGTGGTCCCACAGTGGT